TTTTATTTATTTTATTTATTTTTATATTTCTTCTTTTCTTTTATTTTATTTTCCTTTAAATAAAAGATCTTTCACTCAACCTTCATCACTTTAAAATTTGCTACAGCTTGATAGTTTTTAGTAAATTTTATTACAATATCATATATTTCAAAATCTTATATGCAACCTTAAGTTCTTCATTGGTAATTTCTTTAATAATTTCATTAAAGATTTTTATTTGTGCTGAAATAATCTTTTCTTTACTAAGTTTGATGTCTAATAACAAAAAACTTATTACTATATACTCTAAGATGGCAATTTACCTTAATTTTGAGCTCTATTCTAGTAAAGAAAGATGGGCCAAAGCATATATAAATAAATTTTTTACAGCTAGCATTTCATTTATGTTATGCATTAAAAGTGAAAATGCTGCAATAAAAAATGTTTTTTAAAACTATTCTAGTCTTTGTAAACTTGCTGCTATTTTGGACTTGCAGTTAAGTGATGAAACACAATATGTTAATCATAATAAATGGTACTATGCAAATGCAAGTGCACAATTGAGGAGTGCTTCCACTGAATGTTTTTTTGAAGTTGACTGCATTCTTAAGAAACATCTTACTGAAGAAATGCTTTTTCGATAAAGAAATGAAATTACACAATTACTTTACTATTATACTTAATAGAAAATGAAAAATTATCTAATAAAAAGCATACTAAAAAAGCTATAATATACAACAAATTCACTTGACCTCTCTTCTGGAGGATCTCCTTTCAAAAGACATTGGCAAAATATACAAAATTCAATAACATTATTGTGTTCATATTAATTATGTTATTATTCTTGTTGACTATTCCCATTTATGCATATGCATGTTACTTGTTAATTCTGGCTTGGTTTGTTAACATTTTTGGTATATATTTGCTATTAATAGTAAAGTTTTTTTCATATAATCCTTATTCCTAAACATTGGTATAATAATAAAAAAATACAAGACTTAAATTTGGATAAACAATTTTATATTATAAATACTAGCTTAGCACTTTCTAATGAAGGTAGCTTATCTTGTTTTGCACTTTTTCTAATGCACCTGATTGCTAGAATTCATAATAATAATGTTTTTAGTCTAGAAGTTTATTGTGCTGTTTAAAAATAACATGATTATAGTAAAACTTTTAACCTTGCTCAAAAGGTTGTTCAATTTGCTGTTGAAACAGATGGTGAATCTTTTTGTTGACTTAAAAGAAGCATCAATGACTGGTTTGCTAAAGAACAAAGGTTGACTCAAATTAACAATAATAATAAAGAAAATCTTGATTCTGAACAAGTTAAAAATCTAATTAAAAGACAAAATAAAGGATGACCTTTAGTTAAACAGTTAAAAATAGTATTAAACAAGTCAAAAGCAAAAAATCTCAAAATAAATATAGGAAATATAAAGTTATTGGGCATTATGTGCCAACTTGTAGTAAATAGAATATAGTAGAAAAATGTCAGAAAAAAAATAAAAAGCAAAACAAGTAGTTAATAAAAGGTTTATGTTTTCATAATAAACTAACAATTTAATTATTTTATTATTGGCTATTTTGATAGCATTACTAACTTTTAAAAGAGAAACATATATAATTATCCAAGTACTCAATAGTTTTTTATTAATAAAGATTAACTAATTTACTACTTATAATACATTAGTATATAGTGTTAGACCTAGAAATAGGTTTCATATGTATGCATAATTTTGAAAACATGCATATTTTATTCTATCAAGATTTCTTTTTTCTTGATCATTTTTTCTTTTTTTTTGCTTTTTTTTTATTATATGATATTATGAGCATGAAATATTTTGTGCACATTTATGTGCATATTATTATAAAATATGCATTTTTCTTATTACTTGTTAGACCTGATAACCTAATGTAAATATGATGTTATGGCATCACATGAGAGCAGGTATGGTAATCAATTTCTTAATATAAATATCCTTTAATTATACTAATTCAATTAATTAAATATATTAAAAAAGAAGGATTTAATAATTATAAGGCTTTATGCAGATAAATTGGAGAAATTGAATTAAATAAAGAAGAGATAAAAATAAATTTTATGTAATTAAATAGTTATAAGTAAAACTTTAATATAAATAAAGACTGAAATAGCTCTTAAAGATAATTATATTTCATTTGCTTTATTAAATAACAAGTTCTAATATATTGTATTATCTATAATCAAATGCTAACACTATTGCCATTATAAAACTCTATAAACCTCTATAATCATCATTGTTTATTCAAGTTTTTGATCATGTAATATACTTTACTGACCTTCATTAAACCCAAGTAACTGAAAGTCTTAATCACCTACCAACTAAGTCTAATACTCTTTTGAAAAGATTACTTATTATATGTTATACAAGATTTTTAATTGTGAAGTAACCAAGTTGCAGTTTTCCAAACCTAACAGTAGATTTTTTGGTTTAATATATCTATTATGTCTAACCAATTAACCAAACTATTAAGGGAAATTGAATAATAAATATGAAGAAAAGACATGCTTATATTATACATGTAAGAAGCCAGAACATTTAGCTTGTACTTTTCTAAATCAAAATTATATATTAAAAAGAAAGGACCAGATATTAAAAAACTGCATTTATGTTACATTAAGACCATTTGGCTTGATCTTGTCTGTTGTGATATTATCTGTAAATAATAAAAAAAAGATGAATCAAAAAGGATATAAGAAAAGAAAAAAGAATACAGATTTAAGCAGTGAAGTCTAAAATATTCGATTACTTAAATTTGTAGATATGAAAAGTGATAGTGCTAAGGAAGACAAAAAAGTTAATTGAAGCAATAATGAGTAGAAAAATCGAAGGCAAAAATGTTAATTAATTAGACAAAAAAGCTCAAATATGACAATAAGTCAAAAATTAAAAACAAATCTAAAGGTTTCACTAGTGAAAATGTAAAAGTAATGAATATGATAATTAAGCATTATATGAATCAAACAAATATAATTAAGATGCAAATAACCTAAAGAATGTTGAAGATTGAATAATTCAGATGATTGTTATCTAAATAGACCCAAGTTGAAAGGAATAAATACAAGGAATTCATTTATTATCAAAAATTTGTAGGCATGATCAACATATATGGTTGACTACTATTGTAAAAATAAAGATAGAATTAAAAAAATTAACACTCACTGTCAAAATATAATCTAATGCTAAGAGTCATGTTGGCAGAACTACTAATAAAAATTTTGAAATAATAATGCTAGTAAAATAATTTTATCTGCATCTCTAATCAAAAGTCATCTGATATAGATGCTATTATAATCTGACAAAGATAATCATAGAACATTCTAAGTTAGCTCTTGTCACTAAGATGAAATTGAAAGTAAAAATAATGAATATTAAATATTTATTAGTTGTTAAAAACCTGCTAATTTATATAATATAAATAAAACATTTTCATTGAATGTTGTTGTCAGGATAAAACTGATGTTAAAAAAGATGAGTATAAAGTACTCACTCATTTTTAAAAACCTGCAAATGTGAACTATATTGTTGAAACATATGATATAACCTTGAATTCCATTACTAAAATGTGATGAAACAAAGTACTTAAATTTTGTTATTAGCATAAATTAGAGTCGAAACAAACAAACATGAAATATTTATTAATTATTAAACAACCTGAGATAGAACTTACTGAAGAAATAATGATTTCTATTATGCATTTGAAGTTAAAAGTTTCCAAACATCAAATGAAACAAAAAATCTTATTAGAACATATTATAATAGTTATGGATCTATTGGCAATTGTCATCAAAAAGGAGTAGAAGTTAAAATAAAAAGGTATAAAATATCTTGATTGCCAAAGATTTGCTAATAATGATAATACATATGCTGTTAGAAGTTTTTATAAAAAGAGAATCAAAGTTAAGAAGAATGAAAAAATAACATATGAATGATATTTAAAAAATGCCAGAGATGAAAGCTTGAACAGACACAATAATCTTAAATTGTATAACCAAAATAGTATAAATATGGCTAAAGATAAAGAAACTTGAAACTTACCAAATGTAGTAATTCTAAAAATTATCACTAAAAGGGTATAGTTGTTACATTTAAAGAAGATAAAGAAGTTCATGCAATTGGTAAAAAGTTATTAGTAAAGATGGATTTGATGATAAAGCAAAGTGGGAAGATCAATATAAGAAAGCAAGAATACAAATCAGGAAAAATAATAACATAATTGATTAAAGTAGTAACCAAGACATGATGAGGAAAAAAAAGAAAGGGCCATTAGTAAAAGCAATGATAAAATGTATAATATGAAAGAAAAATTTAAAACTTACCTATAATAGTATTAAAGCTTTTTTTTACTGTAGTAAAAAAGAAACTATAACTTATAATAAATTTCAAATTTGCATTTTATATATTATACATTGTTTTCAATTTGATTGGCTAACTATACTTTGGTAACTGTCACTACTAGTAACAAATAGATTTACTCAACTTTATAACAAGAATTTATTTATATTAGTACAATCACATTTTTTGTACAATATAAAATATAATAAAGTGTTTTTTCTAAATCCTTTTTTAGTAGAAGTAATAATTTTCATTTATTCAGTTTTGGAATAAGTTAAGATTTTTATATACTATATATATATATAATATTATATAATATAGTTTTACTCATTATAATGCAAAGTATTGTTACTGATTATTAATTTTAAAATTATAATGTAATGATATTAACAAACATAATACACAGTTAAAATTAAAATTAAGATCACATTTAAATTATTTATATTATAAATTATTGTAAAAAAAATTTTCTTGCAAAACTTTGCTTGTCATTCTAATAATTACATTCTGGCAATACATTTTGTGACTTACTAATACATATTATTAATTAGATAGCTGTATGATATTATTATGCAAAACCAAAAACAGAATATTTTAAAAAAAAAAACAGTTAATTATTAGCTGATTGGCTAGACAAAATTATATATGAGAGCTTGTATCTAAGTACTTTACTTTTTTTTAAAATTGAGTTATCCAATATGTATATTAATATGAATTCTTATAACTGCTATTCATTGATGCAAGATTACTTATAAACTTTTACAATATATATAGATATTCAATATCTACAAAAGTGTGAAAGTTAGTTTGAGAATATGAATAGTGTTTATGTTTTAATTTTAATATCTTAATTATTAATTCATATAGTGATTACTAAATTATAATAATCCTATATAATATTAAACATAAAAATGATTTAAATGTTGCAATAATTACAGTTTGAATTATAAAGTTAGCTGTTTTAACACAACTAATTAAGTTAAATATTTTATAATATTGAAATCTAATACTGTTAATCTGATTTTTATTTATATATTTTGTTAAATAAGGTATTTTCTGATAAATATTATAATAACCTATAATATTAAAATCAAATTACTATATTAAGATAAGATTACTAAAGGTAATATATTGTTATTTAACCAGTTATTAATAAATGCTAATTGCTCTGTAATTATTGCAAGTGATGCAAGAATTTTTTTGATAATTAGGCATTGCAAAGTCTTATATATTGAGTGAGTAAACTTTAAAATTAAGAAAGAAAG